ACCAGTCCGCATGGCGGGGCATTTACCCTCATTTCGTCCGGGACTACCGCGTCGTCCTCTTCGACCTCGCCTGCGCCGGCAGCGTCAACCCCGACTATTTTGACTTCTGCCGCTACACAACACTCGACGCCTATGCCGACGACCTCATCAACATTCTCACTCATCTTAAAATCCAGCGCTGCGACTACGTAGGCCACTCTATATCCGCCATGATCGGAATCCTTGCCGCCATACGCCGCCCCGATCTCTTCTCCAAGCTTGTCCTCGTCGGTGCATCCCCCCAGGTAACAAAAATTAAGAGTTAATGCACCGTTTACCCCCAAACTCTTTAAAAATTGCATGTTTTGCTCCTGAACTTTAAAAAGTGCACCACTTACCCCTGAACTCTTCAAAACTTGCACGATTTACCCCTGCAGACTAAAAAATAAATCAAATACCTTTGAACAAATTAAAACATTGCATCATTGGTCCTAAACTATTAGATAGGGAGGGCGTTGCTTCCACGCACAAGAATTGCGAATATAATTCATCTGACTCTTGTGAATTTTCCAAAGTACCTTTACCCAAAATTGTCGTCTTTATTTAAATGTTCAGAAGTAAATAGTACAATTTTCGAAGAATTTAGGGGTATTTGGTGCAATTTTTATTGTTCAGGGGTAAATCGTGCAATTTCTGAAGAATTTAGGGATATTTGGTGCACTTTTTAATGTTCGGGGGTAAACCATGCAATTTTCAAATAATTCGGGGGTAAACTGTGCACTTAACTCCAAAAATTAAGATTACATCCTTTTTTTATTTTATTTATCCCTAAATCTCTGCTTAGTTATCAAAAATCAAAATGTCAAAAGTTCATCGCTTTGCATAAACAAGAAGCCGAATCTGATTTCTTTTTTGTTGTACGTCAACCCATCTTTTCTCTGAACTAATCCTGTAGCAGTGTAGCACAATCATTATCTCTAATTATGGTGCCATTTCGGTGGCTACCATATTTCTTGCCTTTTGACTTTATCAACATATTTTTTTTAATTTAATAATAATTCGTACGCACTTTTGATCCCGCAAAGGACTAATATAATTCCTTTCACTAGACATAATTAACTCTTATTTAAGGAATAAAAAAATTTTAAGTCTTACATTGGGAAATGACCTATATTTTAGTTCTATTTAATGCAAATTTCACTAATATATTCCCTCCCTCCCTTAATCATCCTCTTCCGGCTATTCCCTAGTATTTACGCGGGCTAATAGTTCTCCCGTGGTTTACGAAAATGGCGTCGAAACCTTTTTTGTTTTCAAAAGTTATTTGTAAAATTACTATGGTTTCTAAATGAGTACACATGCCACCTTTACCTATTTTTAAAGCAAAAAATTACATTTATGCTCTTTTCTTCCCCCGACTTTGAATTTTTCAATTTTAATTTTTCCTTTATTATACAAATATATAAAATAAAATTTAAGCTTCCCGTCTCAAATTAGAATGTTTCATAATGCACTTTTAAAAAAAATGATTTTTTGAAAAATGTTACAAAAGAAAATGAAATAAAATATTATCACTACTGTTGAATATACATTACACAGCGGATAAATATGACTTTTCCCATCGGAAAACAGTCGATGTCCATGCAAGCGATAGGAAAACTCTGATGTTTACGCAGTGCATATTTATCCGATGTGTAAACTTTACGTAGCGTATTTATTATTCTATGTGTAAACTTTACACATCGGATAATATATGCGATGTGTAAATGTTACACAACGAATAAATATGCGCTGTGTAAACTTTACACATCGGATTAATATGCGTTGGGTAAAGATGGGAACTTTCCCATCGCTTGCATAGACATCGACTGTTTTACATTTTACACAACAGAAAAAATATGCGCGACCTAAATTTTATATAGCGAAAAAATATTCGATGTGTAACATGATGAATAAATATCTGATGTTTAAGCATTAAAACTTCTTTCCCATGGCATGAACAATATTTTTAATGAGAAATTATATTTATCTAATGTGCAAGGTTACAATATATAAAACAAAACATATTTTATTAAAAGAGAATAAAATAAAATACATGAGAGGAGGACCAAACCAAAGCCCCTCCATAAATAGCAAGAACGTAAAAGCCAAAATATACTCCGTAGTAGTCAAGCCAAAATAATTGTTTTTTGCAAAAAAAAAAATAAAGCTAATGTCATATACTCTGCCAACACTTCATGCAATGGTCTGAAAGTCATAAATCCAATTGCTCCCTAACACATTTGATCGATCAAAAGGATATGGAGCGCCCCTATATCCCAAGCCTACTGCAAACTTTAAATAAACCCTTCTTCACCACCAAAATCTCCAAATTAAAAAAATTGAATCAATCTTAATAACAATGAATGAATAAGTTTCGGAGTAATTGACATATTTTCTCTATAGGCATATCTTCATTAACAAAAGTACAAAACTAAAATAACTTTTTTTAAAGAGGACATGAGCATATCCAAAAGCAGTAGTAGCATCAATTGAGGATTGGAAGGATCTAGGACG